CGCCATCGTGTTGGGGTTCAATATTTCGACATTAATTATGTCATCATCAGGAATGGATGATGATTCCTGATGATGACATAATTAATGTCGAAATATTGAACCCCAACACGATGGCGTGTATTTCAATACTTGGAGTATGTATTATACTTTCTTATGTGTGTATAGTCTCGCCACCCTAGTACAACTAAAATATCTCCCAATTGAACCCACGTAGGCTGCATAGTTTGTAATGCTTATCTATCTATTTGCCTTCATTCTACAGTAGTATTATTTTTAAAACGTTTATTATCTAAAAACAACCTTAATTAAATGTGTTTATATGCCTAATCCTACTGTCACTTCGTGACTGTCAATGCTGTCAAGTACATGTGTGGTGGAATACCATGTGCATGGGACATGTATGGGCAGTTCTGAAGCAAACAGTCCGTGATCATTGCCTGCCAATGATTGCCTGCTAAAGATCGCATACTATTTTTAATGAAAGTGATATTTCTTGCGCTAAATATAACACTAAATGAACACAAAACAATTTTTTCTTTGGCAATTTTGTTTTGTAAACATAGGTATTAGACTACACTATTAAAATAAAACATGTACAACCAGGGAACAGTGAAATTAAATTTCACTGTTCCCTGGTACAACCATTCTCTCACTAATAATATATTGAATTTTTATAGAGATAATTAACATAGCCTTCAAACAATATTTACCAAAATCAAGGTACCTGTATGTAGATGACGATGTAAAGTCAAGAGTTTGGAAAAATCATAGTTTATACTATAGGCCTAGCTATTAAAAAAAATTGCAGACTGCTGTCCTCAGAGAATTTTTACGGTCGGCAACAATTAACCGACCTAATTTTTACCCAATTTCATGGGCTGAAAATGGGTTGGAAGGCCAAAGTGAAGGCTCCCCCCCCCCACCTACTTTCTCTGGAATCCGTTACCAATTTCTGTTAGACAGTTCACAAATTTAGTTCTATTCAAGGAGAATCTTAAAACTTTCTTATTTTCTAAATCTCTTTAGTTGGTTTTCGTTTGCTTGGCGCCTTGATAATTTTTAAATCGGTGCGGTGTAAAAAATCTTTTTGTTTATTATGATTTATTGACTTCATATATAATCAATTTTTCTACTGGATTGTTTAACTCATCTCAAGGAACTTTTGCTATTTTCAGGAAAGTTTGGTTGAAGGAAAAAGGTAGCAAGAATTCAGTAATAACAAAAGCAGACTTTAAAAACGAAAAAGAGATATCAGCTCCTGAACATGAAGAATTTGTCATAAGACAGTGACTCTCCTTTAAGATGATAACGGTGTTTGTTTGATTCATATAAAGAATATACAACAGCACAATGGACTCGTTAACCCTGCACACTCCATTAATATTGTTAATTGTAGTGGGTGTCCACATTTACAGTAGACCAACTGTATATTCACTTGGAGCCTGTTACACCAACATAATATTTTTTTAAGGCCTAAGTGTGGTAAGAGTGAAATATAAGTGATTAGTATGAAATTTAAGTGATTATGGTGAACTGTAATTTATTAGTGTAAACTGTAAGTGATTAGTGTGAACTGTAAGTGATTAGTGTGAACTGTAAGTGAATACTGTAGTGTAAAATGTAAGTTATTAGTGTGAACTGTAAGTTATTATTGTGAACTGTAAGTTATTAGTGTGAACTATAAGTGATCAGGTGAACTGTAAGTGATTAGTGTGAACTGTAAGTTATTAATGTGAACTGTAAGTGATTATTGTGAACTGTAAGGTGATATTGTGGTGTGAACTGTAAGTTATTAGTGTGAAATGTAAGTAATTAGTGTGAATTGTAAGATATTAGTGTGAATTGTGTAATTAATGTGAACTGCAAGTGATTAGTGTGAAATGTAAGTGATTAGTGTGAACTGTAAGTGATTAATGTGAAATGCAAGTTATTAGTGTGAACTGTAAGTTATTAGTGTGAACTATAAGTGATCAGGTGAACTGTGATTAGGTGAACTGTAAGTGATTAGTGTGAACTGTAAGTGATTAGTGTGAACTGTAAGTGATTAGTGTGAACTGTAAGTGATTAGTGTGAACTGTAAGGTGATATTGTGGTGTGAACTGTAAGTTATTAGTGTGAAATGTAAGTAATTAGTGTGAATTGTAAGATATTAGTGTGAATTGTAAGTGATTAATGTGAACTGCAAGTGATTAGTGTGAAATGTAAGTGATTAGTGTTAACTGAAAGTGATTAGTGTGAACTGTAAGTGGTAAGAATGAAATATGTGATTAGAGTGAAATGTAAGTGTTAGTGTGAACTGTAAGTGATTAGTGAAATATGCTAGAAACACAAAAGAAATAATAAAGCACTTACCACTTGCTGGAGTATTTGCTGTATATGCAGTTGTTAAGTATTAACATTTTTTTCTTGGTTAACAATATAAAAACGTTGAAGTTTTATTATTCATTCTATTTTTTTTCTTTTTAGAACCATAAATGTGTATTTATAGAGTATATTTCTGACAAACTGTGATAAAGTTATATATTCTGACAACAATTCTAACGTTCACAACATTGTGTTCACAACGAATGTTATAATAACCTTGTGTGTTTGCTGGATATGAAAATGACTGAGTAGATGTGTTATAAAGATACATCAATAAAGACAAGTTAGGCATTCACTTTTAGACTAAGGAACGTTTTTGAAAAACAGCACCAGAAGAAGCATCCATGATCAAAACTTCATGTTGTTAAGCTATATTTACACTAGACACGATAATAATAATAAACAATAATAATAATAATAAAAAGATTTATAAAGCGCACAAATCTACAGCAGTATTGCTCAAGGAGCTACAGGAGGAATGAACCAAAAAGAAACACCACACCATCAGCGCACCTTTTACATGCAATTTAAGTCACAGGGGCCCAACCAGGGGTGGCGTCAGCGGGGGGCCCAGGGCCCCCTCCGTCGGGAAGATCTGCCCCCCCCCCCCGTCGGGGATAAAAAAAAATTATATGTATTTTTTACATATTAATAGACTCTAAAATCAATTAAATAAGCCTTTGAAACACCTAAATTGTTAAAATTTTCGGGGGCTTCGCCCTCAGGACCACTTTCGAAACCTTTTAATCGAAGCTCCACCACGCCCACTTGGTTTCGTCGGGGAAATCTGACCACTCGTCGGGGCGTTGCCCCCCCCCCCGTCGGGGACCTCGGCCGTCGGGCAAATCCTGGCGCCACCCCTGGGCCCAACACGATACAGATGTGCGCAGTGTGAATAATACAGACTACGCGATGATATGTCGTCGTGTCGTTATCGTGTCTAGTGTAAATCCAGCTTTAGTCTGTAAAGCATTGTCTACCTTCGAATTTATAGGATTCTAATTGATTTAGGATTATGTTGAAATGACGCTTGATAATTCACCTTTTTAATTTAAAAAATTAAATAAAATTTTTTGGTTTGTGTGCAGTGTTGTATTTTGTATATACATATTTGTAATTTATAAATGATTATTAAAGTGTTTGCAACAAGTATTTGTGTGAACTTTTTAAGTTATTTGTGTGTGAACAACCAAACGTAATTGATTACCAGCCAATTTAGGGATTTTTGTAATAAAATGTCTGTAAATCGGTGAAAAAAATATTTCGATCTGTTTCTTGGTAGAGAAGCGAATGATTTATTTGATTACAGTATTTTAAATGAGCTACGTGTAGATTTACATTTTGTTTTAATTTTTGGGATATTTTCCAGTATTTTGACTAATACGTCCTTTAAAGTGTGAACAACCTCGTATACCCTGGTAGGTACTAGAGGAACTTGCCAAGTAGTAATCACTTTCACTTGTACTCTCCTGTTTCTCTCCAAGCCTTAAAGTCCGACCTTTTAGCTTTACACGAGACATCACATTTGATCACGATTTAACTGATTTACGTCTTTCGTAGGAATAAATAAAAGAAAACAATTGAAAGAAATACAACAATCAACGATTATATCATCTTAAACCATTATAGAGCGACTTGCTGGCTGTATTATTTTTTTTTTAACTCAAGGGGAAACATTGATTTTAATTTTAACGGTTTTAAGGCTTATTAAATACTATCCCTTGACCCTAGTACACAGTACTGGCTGCACTGCCAATACTTACGCCATTGCGCCCGCACCCTATTTCAAGACTATTTAAAGGCCCCTCACTAATACCCCTCTCCCTACCTTCGCCAGTTTTGAATGCTTAAAAATATGTGGATGCAGGGAGCGGACACGATCTTCCCCCAGAGCCTGTCTACTGTCATAAGTCCAACATATTCCACCATTCTTTATTTTAAACAAATAAAATTAAATTAATGTCACTCTACCGCAGGTCACAAATTCGAACACATGCAGGAATACGAATTACAGAACGAAGCAATTTTAATGATAAATTCCAAAAGGGATAAATAAAAAATTGAAGCTCTGAAGGATGAGCAGTTCTGCCAAATTGCTGACTAGTGGCAGGCGTGGGCCGGCCCCACCTTCTCCCCCTTTTGGAAAGTAAAATAAAAAGGAAAAAAAGATTTTTAAAAATTATTGATCGCCCAAAACGCCTCAGAGGTTATTTTCGGGCGTTTAAAACAACATTTTCCTGGGGTAATCCTGGACCCCCTAGGGTAGTGTTGTCCCTCGATTCCCCCACCCCTTTCAGATATATCTGGATCCACCCCTAATTGGTGATCATTCTTTTTCAAAATCTGGAACAAATACGATTTCCCTCTGTCATCCATCTTCAACCTAATATTGATTCTTTAAAAAAAACAAAAGGAACTAAAAATTCATTGACAAATGTAGGCATACATCGATGGACCTGGATGTTTTTTGTTTTTGTTTTTGTTTTTGTTTTTTTTTTGTTTTCTTCTTTTCTTTTGTTTTACAACAGTTATGAGTTATAATGTGTTTGAATTGTTTTGGGTTTTCATTTTGTAACTGTGCTCTAATCAGTTGTTTTGTTTTGATGTTGACACGCTATGTAAATAGCGCTCAATAAATGAATTTTTTAAATAAATAATAAAAGAAGATGCCGCGCATCATCATCCTCCATCTAATATATTATTTATCTTGTTTGTTTCTTGCTTAATTATAGTTCTTGCTTTCTGCTAATGCTTGTTCTTTGGAGATCCGTTTTGGTTATCCTTGGAGGGTTTTCTATTGTATGTTTCTTTATCCTAAAATGTTGTAGGTCTAATACTAAATAAATATTAGGTCCTCAGTGTAAAGTTGAAATGAAATACTGCGATCACAATACTGCATGTTATTCCACACGACGTCGGCATAATCTGTGCTTCACGTATGTGCGATACATTTTCGCTCTAAATATTTCCGACACATTTCTTTATATTTTTCTATTGATTCAATAGGTGTGTCTGGGTCCTTTGCCAGTTCGTCCCATTGGCGCATTCGGATTATAGCCGCAAATTTCTCTGAATTCTCGAATTTCTTAGCTTCGTCTTCCGACATGGCACCGCCTTGATGTTCCAAGGTCTGCTTAGAGGCTTTGCTCAAACCTACGATACCAAAAAAAAAAATTATAATAAATTGGTCAGTCATTCCCTTTCATCTTTCTATGCGTTTGCTAAAAATTATAAATATTCTTAGTTGTCAATTTCGTAATTGGCTACAATGCTTAATTTGTGACGTGCACGCGTCCCGGCACTGAGTAGGCCTAAGTGTCTGGGACTGCCGTAAAGTAAATTCTACTACTAAGGTGATACTGCTGACAGAGCTCAGAATGTCAGTGAACTCAACCGCTGCAAAGCCTTGTCGAATCGGCGCCGAGTTTTTACTTCCTTACTTCCCGATTGCATCGTGACAGAAGCAGTGTAGCTACCTAACGATTGCAGTGAAAACATACAACAAAGTAGCGTTTTTATGAAAATCAATCCGGCTTCTTTTTTACACTAAACTGGTATTAGCGGCGTAGGAGGTGCGAAAGTGTCCCAGTGCAAGATTAATTGCACAGGGGCCCTAAATTTTCAAAAAATTCATAGTAAGAATTGTGGCGGATCAGAATTCGAAATAGATGGGACATGGACGGATTTTCACAGGAGGATAAAGAGGACCACCTCAGCCCCACCATGGTTGGAGCTGAGGTAAGAACATTTATGATTATAGCACCCTCTAGATGGCCGGAAATGGCACTCTCGGACTTATGATATAATGAACATAATTTCCTTTTTTCCCCATTTATTTTATATGAAAAAATAAGGGGGAGGGGAGTCGGGCCGGCTGGAGTCCCCTTGAATAGGCTCCACCGCTTAATTGAAATCAACACATTAATCAATAATTACTCCTTTAAAAACCGAATATTGAGGGGCTACTGGCCGTTTTTTTTCCTTCAAAATTAGGTTGGAAATTATTTTAAATTATTATGTTTAAGTCGCCTACTTATGAATGGGCTCCAGCCCTGGCCCAGTGCTTTTCACTGGCTGCGCTGCCCGTAACTACGCAACTGACTGGTTTTCTAACCCAGTCTAACACCACTCACCAAACCTAAAAGATATAAGGCTGATTTTGTAATAGAGCACCAATTATATGAGGCTAATTCCTACTCATCTTATGATTCATAGTCTACCTCGCACTTCTTTATAATAGAACAATCTACAAAGTCCTTGTTTTACCATTTTGTTTAAGCTTAAGGATATTCGGACGGATAACAAACTTAACCTCTCCTCTCTTTAAGTTTTCCTTTGCTTGGAGATAGATTTTCGCAATGCTTGTCATTGTTATTTATGAACCTTTCCGTGGGTATTACTTATATTAGGCATACCGTATTCTTTAAGAAAAGGCCCAAATTCAAAAACTAGCATTACCGTCATAGTATAGTTTATCTTTTAAGACCAGGTAGCGTTTGGCGTCCACGTGACCTCGAACGAATGCCACTACTTCTTGTGGCATCCCGAATTGCATTAAAAACTCTTCACCGACCCTCTCATGACCAGTGGTTCCGAGATCAAATCCATCCGTAACCATGCGATCCAGACCCCGATCTAAGCCCACAAGGTGTCCTATGTCATGGAACAAGGCACCTAAAACAATCTTGTAGAGAGGAAATTGATACAGGTAAATCAAATAATCATTAGACCTATTTCAATATGATGATAATTTATTATTTTGTCATTTATTATTTTATATATATATATATATAATATATATATTATATATAGGCTATATATA